CAGGCCTCCGGTTCCAGTTGCTGCAGAAACTGACCAGCAGCAGCTGAATCGGGGCCGCCTGGGGCAGAGCCGGACTATCGGAAGGGGGGCTATGAGGGGTCTGGGGTGGCATCCCTCCCCCCACCCCAGACCTCTCATAGCCCCCCCCCCTTCCGATAGTCCGGAAAATCTGATAATCCGGCACCCCCTGGGTCCTAAAGGTGCCGGATTATCGAAAGTTTACTGTAAATATCCCGTGCTTCATTTGCATAATCGAGTCACTGCAATCTTTCGGAAAAGGGTATTTCGAAAGTGAAACCGCTGTCCAGAGTTTCTAGAGTACTGGATCTTTCGAAAAAGGGTTTGTTTTTTTTTTCCCAAAAGAACTGCATCTAGACAGCAGTTTCACTTTCGATGGCCAATGAAAACTGTGATCCTCTGTTACCTGCAGAGCCACAGGTAAACATAGCAGCAGTAGCCAGCCAGGCTCTAACCCTGCGGTCTGCCATTTTTATATTGTCCACCTCTGGTGTAGGGGCAGAGCAAGGTGCTTTCTGGGTCTCCACCAGGAGGGAGGGTAACAGCCCAGTCTCCAGCTTGAATACCATAATTCAACAGGCTCATAGCCCAACCGCCCAAATGAGCCAATAGAGGCCAGCTGCTGCTGTTTAAGTGTAGTATAGACATACCCTTATGGCTCCAAATCAGGGCTTCTCAGTTTCTATAGTCATGGATGATTTCTTAGAATTGCAGGAGTCAGAGGTGGATAAACTAATTAATCATTCAGTCCACACTCCTACCAAAGAGCCCTGCATTTTCTTAGTAATAAGAAGCATTACCGGGGCAGAGCTCAGCATAAGAAGAGTTTTTGGCTATCTGTTGATTTAAACAGAGCCAGTGTTGGTGTCACTAAGAAAAAGCTATTTACCCACCTCTATATCCAATGATACCACTACAATAAGAGTCTAAATGTCACAGCATAAATTCCATTGTGAGCAATGAGAGTTACAATCTTTATCACGTCACACATGCTTCGATCCTCCCTCATCTGGCTCTATAGTCCCAGGAACCCAGTCTCCTGTTTTAACCTCACCAATCATCCTTCTGGTGAAGACAGCCTAGACCAGTGGTCCCCAATGTGGTGCCCGCAGGTTCCGTGGCGCCCGCCGGGGCACTTATGTGCACCTACCTAGTGACCAGAGCTGCCCGAACCATTCTTGAAACCTGGGTGCGTGGCACATGCGCGGCCCCCACCCCCGGGCACCCAGCAATCCCAAAAGGTTGGGGACCACTGGCCTAGACAGAGTCTCTTCAAAAGAGACAGTACCACTTTTTAATTGGTCAGAGGAGTGACTAAGACTAAGCATCCTTCCCCACTGGGCTATCTAACTTAACTCAGTAGCAAACCATCAACAGATTGAAAACTTATCTAGTCTCAAATCAAACTTCTCTCAATTGATCACTTACCTTATGCTTCCTTTTGCCCTTGGTGGAATTTTTGTCTGACGCTGGTTTTTGGGACTCTCTTGTATGCTTCTCTGGTGCACTTTTCTTCTCTGCTTTGGGTGGGTCTATGTCCTTGTAAGGCTTCCCTGGTATTCTTGATAAGAGGCTCAGGTCAATCTTCACAATAAGTGGGTACCGTTCATCTGGATCACTTAGTGGTGAAAGAAGTTCCTTCTCTTCCATAGGAGAGAACATTCTTTGCCGAAAAAAGCTGTCATCCTCCTCCATGGAAGATTTAACAGGAGTCCTATTGCTCTCAGAGTATTTGGGGGTTTGTGATGAAGGAGGCAGGCTCTCATTTTCATCAGAATCAGAGGATGAGGTATCAGTTTCTATGAATTCCCTGGATTTCTGGGAAGGTTTGCTTGAAGCCTTATATTTCTTTTTTTCTGCTGAAGGACGAGGGGATGATTTGGGCTCCTTCTTTATGTTGGGTTTTCTAGAGCCCTTTGTGGCTGCTTTATGCCTATTTGAGGGCATATTTGTTGGCATGTCCACTGGTGTTTCGCTTTCTATTTTCAGCCCTCCTCTTGGCTCTTCAACAGCTGCCTTGTCTGCCTTTTTGGGCTGCTTTTTACCAACTGTCCTCCTCTGTACTGTGCTATCACCCTGTGCAGGTGACTTCTGCCTGCCACGACTGCTCTCCGATCCTTTTTGGGTAGTTTTGGAATCTCGCCCTGGAATGGAGGAAATAGATTCCTTAGATCCACTTTGATCTGTATACCCATTCCCAGTGCTCTGATCTCGGCCATCTTTTTTGTAACCTTGTGAAGATGGGATATTACTGTCCACAGAAGAAGCTGGTGACACTTTATGTGGATTCACTTTGTTCAACCAGTTGTCAAGCTGCCATTTGTTCGTTGATGGTGGCTCAGGCTAAAAAAGAGGAAAGAGTATTAAACACTGTACATTTTGTTCCTCAGTCTCCCTCCGAGGGCTGCAATGTTTTGCTATACACCAAAGGAACAGCCAATTCACTAGTGAATTAAGTATGATGTGTTAGAATATAGTGTGTAAATCACAGCTCCTGTACCTTCACTGTGGTGAGGCTAACACAGAGCATTGACCAACAACTGTTGGCAGTGAATGAGAGGAGCCACAGTAGATGTTATTGGTCCAATCACTGCACCCATAATTGTGTGATATACCAGACATATCAATGACTAAATGAAAGTTAGTGCATACTATGCTTTAAGCTACCTTTTCAGTTTTGTAATATTACTATGAGTAACTCAGACTCAAATTTTCAGAGTCAAGTGGCATGAGATACATGTCAAAGCCAAGCACTAAAAGTGTGGGTTTTTAAACAGTTCATTTAGCATATTCGACAAACTGCTGCTGAAAAGCATTCCACAATGTTTTCTCAATTTTATGCTTTATTTAGCATATTCTCAAACTATCGCTGTATTCTTAATCAAAACTGGATTAGATGGATTAGTACTCAAACCAGATAACAAAGCCTACCTCTGGAGAGGCACACTGGGATGGCTCATTAGCCTCACTGTCACTGGAACTACTTTCACTTTCAGAATCAGATCCAGAACTACTTTCAGATCCACTATGGCTGCTTGAGTCATCCCTGGAATTATCTGCTCCTTCACTATTATGCTGGGATGGTTCAGAATTACTGGGGAAGACAAAAAAGTAAAAACATCAAGACTGTGTAAGGCACACAAATTTCATAGTAATTTTCTGCAGAGTAAAAATTAAACAGGTTCACTTCTTAATTATCTAACAGTAAATTCTACATAATTGATAACAGCAAATAATTTAGGAAATGGGAAAGTCTTATAAAACCAATTATTATTTTTTTTTCCAAGCTGTTAAGTAGTTACTTGGAGGGGAAATGCTCTTTAACCACCGATCAAGTTCTAATAACTTCATGTGGTTACAAGTCAGCACTCTACTGTGTGAGACATGGAATTTTAGAATGGTCAGATCAAATTAGGAACACTCATCTGCTCAAATGTAATTACAGTAAAACCTGTGTTATCTGGCATGCCGGTAACCTAAAAATTCTGGTTATCTGAGGGGTGGGGGAGGAGCCGTGCAGGGCCTATAGGAGGGAACCATGGGAGCCGTGCAGGGGCTGGGATGTGGCCTACTAGAGGGGGCCACGAGCAGCAGGGAGTGGGAGGGGGAGGGCATGATGCAGCCTGGTGTGGGGGAATGTGGAAGCTTGGGGGGGGAGCTGGGGGGGCGCCCACGCGGGAGGGCTGGCCGGCCTGCTGGGAGTGCCAGGATCCACAGAGGAAGCCGAGATGCATGCTTGCTTCCAGCTGTTCACCCCTCTCCCAGGTATGTGCTGCACGCTTGTCTGAAGAGCGGCCTGACACTTGAAGGGCCAGTTTCTTTTCTTTTCTTTTTTTTTTTTTTTGCTTTTCCCAGCATCAGAAATGTGCTGGTTTCCACAGTTTTCCAGATGCTTAAAGCTCCAGATAGCACAGGTTTTACTGTACTTTACTTGCCATGAACGGTCAAAAATCAGCTATGAATGCCTACCTTCCAGGTGTGCTCCTTGGCACGATCTTATCAGAATCCTGTAATTTAAAAGAATAAAACCAAGGTTAGGAAGAAGCTTCTAAAATTACATTTGTGTTGCGTGTACATGGAGCCTATAACAAAAACAGAGCTCCAATACGCCTTCCTCAAGACCAACTTTGCAGGTATGGCCTCTCTCATCTGAGCAAACTGCAGTTGTTTACAAAAGCAGATATCCTCAGAGACTGTAACAGGCAAATTAAATTATTTGCCCAAAAACATGTAGCAACTAAATGACAAAGTCAAGATCTTCCCCAGATTTTTTCACATTCTACTATGGTTTTTATCTAAATTCCAATTACACTCTGCTCATCATTCTGTGTCATTCAACTTTCTGTGTGAGGACTGGTTACAACTTGGGTCTATCAATGTTATTCCTCAATTGCCCAAAGTAACAGAAGGTGCTATTCCATGCATTCGAGGCATTTTGCATAATGCCTCATCAGCATTATCTAGATCAGAAGGATCAAGACTGGGATTGGAAATTAAAACGGAAAATAAAGCTGGGATACTGAATGGGATACCACCACCATCTTGGTTATAAAATCATTTCTGAAGACAGTACAATTTGTATTAGAGAGAGTTCCTATCAACTAAGGGAGATTAAATTTTCCCAACTAGAGTGACGATGCTACTATAGAAGTAGTAACAGAAAAAGGAAATGTGTACATGTATTAGACAACAACCAATCCCAGACTATTGGTTGGAAAAATGTATGTCATATATTATTTGGAAAAACTACCACATCCTTAAAAGGCCAGGTGTGTGTGTGTCTGTGTCCTTGTCACTAAGTTTATATTTCCTGAGTACATTGCTCCATTTTATGTTGATGAAAAGGCAATATAAAATTGATAAACCATAAGATCTGGACATCTGAAGTAAAACCAAAAGCAAAGACTCCCACAAGTGGTTATATATTCAAAAAAAATTATTCTGTACTATTACAAAGTTAATTTGAAAGATCTTGCTTTAATTCTTACTGACAAGTATTCAATTTGCAACTAGCCAAGCACTGCAGGTTTCTAAAATAGAAACATAATATTGAACACTTCAGTTGTGTCTTCTGAATTTTTCTAAATCTTTAGTATTAGTGGTACATACCTGTTCACCTTCACTGTCTTCACTGCTGCTGAGTTTTAGGTCATCTTTTAACATACTAAGTGAAAAAGAAGAAAGAAACAGAAAGAACGAAAGAAAGAATAAGTTTTTCATATACTCTGATAGTTAAATCCAAAGTAGTGTTCAGCTATAAATTGATCTAAAATGCCACTAAGAATTTACCTTGTTTACAGAGTGTGTTGCATTGCTTACAGAACTCAATATTAACATGTTCAATGTTGAACTATAAGAACCCCTGCTACAAAAATAATAATTTCAGTGTGAAAGGTGAAACTACTATTTTCAGGGTTGCCTTCCTAAATGCAAATGATCAAGAGTATAATTTCAACAGAATTAAGAAAGTTAAAAAGTGACACTTGAAAATCTATCATGTTGAATTTCACTGTTGTCATAAAAGATATGTTTCAATATACATATCTAAATTTATTTCAAAAACCTAGCATAATGTCTGAATACTACAAAATAACATTTATGAGAGTATTTGTTATTTTTTGCTTTATTTTTGCAATGAAAGGCATTAGGATATATAAAAACAGTATCTTACTCTGTTTGGTTTGATTCACATCTGGAGGAAGAAAACAAGAAAGAGTTAAAGTTTCTCAAGCGGGTATTTTAAGTATGGCTGTTTTAATGAACATCCTAACATTCTAACCTCTTGGGTCTAATCCGCAAAGTATCTTTTCCCCAAAAAAGGCACCCCAAAAGAATAAGCTTACTGATTACACAAAGTGCAATCTTGTCCCATCATTTAACTTCAGACAGTATAAAGTTCACTGCAATAAACACAAGTTCTCATCCACATTTGAATCTAGTGTGTGGGGGAGGGGAGAGGTTTGTTCCCAGAAATTACCACAGATCTCTGCAGACTCCCCAGTTGTAGACATTGTTCCAATACCCCCACAGGTGATTTTTGTACCCACTAAAATACCAACTGCAACCATAATTATAGCATTGCTGGAATAATATTATGGCATCAAAGGAAAGGTGCAATCTTCTGTTAGCTCTTATATTTTGTGTAGGTAAGCATCTTTTATCTAGTCACATCAGAGACACAATCAGGTTTTTCAGAGGTGGGTGGAGAGACTACTGCTTTTTTACTCCTGTTAGGACTTGACTGGACAGGCATGCGAGGGGAAAAAAAGGGGGGGTTCTATTTCTGCTTACACAGTAAAACAACTGCTAACTGAAGACTTTACAACTGAACTGCTATAATCGAGGGCAAAACCTGCTTTGCAAACTATCTATTTACGATGATGCGTAAGCAAGACCTAACCCAGGGCAACTCTAAGAGACCAACTTTCCAGGGTAAATGCATACTTATAAAATGATCAAATTTGACACAGTTGTCTCAATAATAAAATACTACAGAACCCTGCTTTACTTCTCCCTCAGAGAAATGGCCTGCAGTGCTGCTAGCTGCTACTAGGGGCTGCTGAAACTGGCAGAGACTGGCTCACAAGTAGAAGACACTGCTGGAGAGCAGGAGAGTATGGGAAGAAACTAGAGAAGGTCTACTCTACATGCAGCCCGAGGCCTGTTTGTTTGCGGCCTGCAGTGCAATTTGTGTTTACGCAGGGGTCAACACGTAGCCCGTGCATAGGATCCTTTGAACATGGCCTCCACTGGGAACACACTTCACAACGACTAGGCATCTCCCAGGTGGGGTGAGCACTGAAAAATGCAAGCAGACAGGCTGGAACAGACAGATACAGGGTGTCTGTGTTTCTAGCCCCCAGGGAGGAGGTGCCAGGAGTACTGGGGCATTGTGTGAAAAAAGCTATTTGCATATATATGCAACCACGCTTAAGTTGTGGCCCTTGGTATGTGTTGTAAGTATCATTGTGGTCCCCAAGGCTTCCAAAGTTGAGTGGCCCTGAGCCAGAGGAATCCTGGGCAGCTGCAGTTTCCCAGCTAGCCCTGAGGAAGAAGAGGGCAGCACAGAGGAAACTGGGTCAGCCTAGGACCAAGCATCAGACTGTTTCTCTCTGGAAGTGGGGTGGGAAGGCTTGTGAGGCTCAAGAAAAAAACATGGTACTGGTATCTGGGCTCCGTGGAGGGAAAGGGGTCAAGGGAGAGGTTACAGATGTCTTGTCTCTGGCTTGGCTCTGGGAGGAAAGGGGGCAGAGAAACAGGGGTTGTGTTATCTTAAGGGGTTTTAAAACACTCTACTCCTAAGGTAATATTTGTATGCTTGTATTACAGTGATTTCCAACCTGTTTTTATACTGAGGACTGGCAAACCCATTCACAAACTTTAGGCGGACCAGCAACATTTTATTTGCCTATTTGCATATTCATTATTTGTATAATGAATATGCAAATAA